ATGCTAGACATATCTAGGAGCATGGCGCTTTAGCTGATCAAAAGACAGCTCTGTATTGCACAAAAGGAGCTCCTCCTTATAAGTACTGAACAACCGTATATGCGGTAAGTGGGTCAGAAGAACAGGTCACAACCAGCGTACAAAAACAGGCTGGCTTAGAAAGCAGAGAGGGTCAAATGCCCCCATGCTGTGGGAGGTGGGAACATCACTTGCTGCTGCAGCTCTGTTAGCTAAGGTTCATGTGGAAGTCAGGCTCTGAAACACAGGTGATTGAGGCATCCGCAGCCACAGCCAAGCTTTTGCACAGCGCTCTCATGAAACACTTAACGTGAGCAGGGAAAAAGACCGTGTGCCACATTCTCTGAACTGAAGCATCTCTCTGCCTTTGCTATCACCAACATGGGTGGTTTTATGCAGTCTGCGTTATTCCATTAGAGGGCTACCGAGACTATGCCTGCCCAGCTTGGCTGCAGCCTGCATCAAGAGTGTTCTTCAGTGGGCGGCTCACAGAGTGGACCCCAGCTGCAGCCACGGTGCTGACACCCACTTTACACCAGCGTGTTGCTCTGCACTCCCAGGCTCCCTGCTCGCTCCCCGGTAGTACTTTCACCTGCATGTTCATCATGTTCTTATCTGTCACTACAGATCAGAACAAATTCTCAGTCCACGAACTGATTCAGGGTAGTTTATTCCAAAAACAGACAAAAAAAATTTAATTATTTCCTCTGCTGCTTCCACCTCCTTGTGCCTGGACTGTACAGCTATGTCTTTGCCCGCTTGATGGAGGACTTCTTTACAGCACACAATCTCTTTCATCTTTACCATGATCAGAACAAGTCAGTGCACCTTTGCTACTTCACAGTCTCTTTTAAACTGGGGTGAGCTGAACTTTCTATGCAAAGATTTGACCTCTCCTGAAATCCCTTGATCAGCAATTTCCCTTGCTCGCTCTTTCATGCTTGAGGCATTATGAAACACTGGAAACTACACATACTTTCATAAGGAAGTTAGTGAGAAAATTCAAATAATCAACTCAGTCCCAAGAGACTTGGGGTCTTTTTCCAAGTTTGAAAGCTCTTTCCTAACATAAGTTTTGCTCTTGAAAGTCTTCTGGTTAGCAGGCAGCTGATGATATAGCTTCTCTGGAGCCTGATTATACTTCCAGCCCAGGGGCAGGCAATAAAAAAGCCTGCCCAGCTCTGTGAGGTCTGAATCAGGTGCTAACACTGAACATCTGCTGGGGCCTCTGCTTTCCTCTCCCCCACCCTCCTTCCATGTGCTGGGCATTGGAGCATTCCCCACTTTATAGCTTGTGGCAATGAAAGGCCAATTTAAGAGGGAAAGCATTGCTGACAGCATTATCCAAAAAAACCAGACTCGGCTTTAACTGCTCTTCATCCAGGACTTTGGTGAATCCAACACCACCGTGAAATGCTGAAAAAAATCTGCATTGTGTGGCAGCCTTTGGAAACAGTTACCAGCAAAGCACTCACAGCCCAACCCGAGTGAGACAAACAGACTCTACACGTACATTCATTACTTCATACAACCAGATTGCTTATTGTACAAAAATTAACAGTGCCATCCAAGAGGGCCTTCACAGATGTTTAGAAAGAGACACGTAAACACAGCTTTAAAACATGTTTTTTATGTAATTTAGGTACAAACTATTGAAACACCACACATTGTGTGCGTATATATACACATACACACGTGTGTGCGTGTAGCTCCATACAGACAGAACAAATTGTCACAGCAGGCTGCGATATGCTCATACACTGCTCTCTGAGGAATCCAACATCCCTACACAAGGGTTTTCACCCAGTGGGACACGAGCTGGACTTACGCTGAACTGTAAGCTCATCCTTAGGGCCTCGAGTTGCTGCTGCCGTTGGCCCGGCCTTCCTTCCCTGGTTGCTCCTTGCTGCACCCCGCTCCTGGCTCCCCTCTTGAGTCAATAACCCAATCTCCAAGCCCACCTAGGTAAGTGCACCAGAGTGACTTGGTAAAGATGTAAGGGTCAGCATACAGGGTCAGATCCCTATCCTGAAAAGTCTCAGCAGGGAAGGGATGGTCTCTGTCTTGCAAAGTGCCTGATCTAGCAGGGCCCAAGTCACGGGTGTAATGCTTGGGTACAACCATCGTACATATAAACATCTACAGCCTGGAAACTTTCACTTTTCTGTTCTGCAGCAGCAAAGGATTAATGGACCTGTACAGGAAAAACATATTTGGGGTAGAAATCACAACCTTTGGAGAAAAAGACCACAGCACCTGAATAATTCCTACTAGAGAGAATGCCCAATACAGTGAATTTTGATTAACATCCAAGAGGGAAGTTTAACGCCTTAAGGTAGAAGGTTCATCAAAGAGCTAAAGAACAACATTTTTGCTAAATGCTGTGCTTTCATCAGCAGGAATGGCACTGCTGCTTGCAATACGAAACTGAGAAAACTGGTACTTAGACTTTTCTAAGCAGCAACTGCTGAATCCCAGCACTGCTCTTGGGCAGCTGAACAGGGTAAGTTACTGGCATTCATGTCTATTCCCTTCTAGATCTTGCCCAAGCTCCTCGGGCAGCAATGGCCTCTCTAGTGAGAGACCCTGAAGTGCTAATCTGGCATTGGCCACAAAAGATTTGCATGGCTTTACTAATTTCTACTACAGTAAAACAAATAAACAAAAAAAAAAGAGTAAAGGCAGCAGCCTACAGCTTTCATAAGGAAGAAATGACAGACTGTAGCAATGTTTTCAAAGCTTTCTCTCTATGAAGTCCAGTTATTCCCTGGGAGGAACAGACTAGCCTTGGTAGGAATTTATCCAAAAGTTACAAAGAGTCAACACGGCTTCCACTTGCTCATCTTCCAATGCAGAGAGAACTGTTCCTTTTAGTCTGACAGCCGCAGGTACGGTGAATCCCAAGAGCTCTGCTGTGCAGTTAGTGCAAACCAGCCAGGAAAGAAGCAACTGGAGCTTTTATTCTCCCTGTAGGTGAAGAGGGTAAAAGCTGATGTTTTTCCTGCACTAACCTCCCTGTCCAGGAGTATAACAAGGCCTAAAGCTAGCCAGTGGAGATGCTCTGTCCTTCAAAAGATATCAACAGCAGCTGTATCTCAACCAGTCTGGGAGCCCTAGAAGGTATTCTTCTGGAGTGCCACATGGAAACATGCTTCTAAAGCCCTGACTGAATTTCGTGTCAAATGCAAGACTGACAGAACCTCCATGGTGTTCCTCCATGCAAATTGGGACAGCCCTTTAAAATGACAGGATCAATCCAAGACGTGGTCTTCACATACAAAGAAAGAAAAAGGAATACAGACGGACAAAACAGCAATGGTAAAACAGCTTTAAAAGTCGCCCACATAATCAGATAGAAGCTGCAGAGCTGTCATGCACGTATCCTGACAGCCCTTGCTATTGAACAGTAGACACGCTTGAGCAGCATTTGCCTTAGTGGTTCACATGTCATGGCCCAAGAGACCAGTGTGCTGAATTACTGACATTATTGGGAACTTCCAAGAACTAGCAAAAAGGAGCAAATAAGGATATATTCCCATTCAAGAGGAGATGTTATCTGTTTCTTACTCCAGTTTGCCACATCTGGCTGTGCCACTAGGAGTCTCAGCAGAGAGCTGAAGGGCAGAATACCTACCGAACCGCACAGCAACTTGCATCCGCCTAGCTCACAAAATCACCAAAAATTTGAGAGCTTGCATATTCCTCTGTAAATTTAACCTCTCCTTCTCATTCCTAGCGCAGGAAACCTTCATATGTCAGGCTCGCAGCCCAAGTCTGTGAAAAGCTCATATAGTCAGCATGACAGTTATACTCTAGAGAGAGGATTTCTCATGCTAGAGTTTATAACCCAACCCTTCTCATCCCTGCACTTGTACGTGGGAAGGGAAGAAACAGATAAGAACATAAATGAGATAGTACAAATTATTTTCCCCTAAATCAATAACATTTATACATTTTTAAGAAATCTTCATTAAAAAGAAAATTAAGCATGAACAGTTCTACAACATAAACAGGTGCAAATTCCATTGCCTAGGAAAGAGTTCATCTCTAATCAGAAGTAGTGGAAGTCCACAGCCACGTGTTTTAAGGACAGCCTTCCATTTTAAAGACAGCCTTGATATTAGTGTCTTTACTGTATTAAACTCTTGGTACTTAAATAATAATAGTAATAATAATAATATCTAGACAGCACAGACAAAGTATAGGATGATACATAAGCATAAAAGTGCAAGATGTAACTTCAGTCAAAGTGTCTACTGGTCAAATTGGTACAAACTGTGTTCAGTGATCAAGCATAAACCGGACTGAGAGCAATCAAGGCCCTTTTCTTTTCCTCCCATCTCCATCAGAAGTCATCACAGGTAACATCAATCCAGTCTGAAGTGACATCGATTCCAAATGGGTGTACATGAGAGGAGAGCCAAGTCCATGCCTTGATGGAAAACTGATCCTCATTTCCTCTGTGTAATGCCAATTAATCCACAGGCTTTGCTCTGAATATCCGAGCAGAGAGAGAGAGAACAGTAACTTCGATGCCACATTCAAGGGAGGCAGAGTCAGCAGCTCAACAGAAATGTAGCACTTAAGTGCAGGGGGTACAGCGAGCTCTCGTTAGCTCCTCTAGAGTCACATCCCCCAGCTGATTTATTGACTTGAGCCATGAAAGATGACTATGAGGAGGTTAAGTAACACTGCTCTTTCATTGGAAAAATAAAAAGATTATCCTCACAAGTATAATTTTTCCCTTCCTGTTTGTCTTATTTTACTATTTCAGAGATAAAATATCTTTTACAGTATCAGCTCATTATTGTGTTCATTCCCTTTAAAGGCAAATGGAGTTTAAAAGATCTTGTCACCAGAAGGGGGTGGGATGGGGGCAGAGGCAGACCTTTTAGTAAACCTTTTAAAAGATTTCTAACTCATTTTGCAAGTGAAAACAACAAAAGCCATAAAACTCTAGCAAAGGAGAGCTGTCACTGAGATTAAGCAGATCCAAACTCCACCATCCATTTTTCATACTTCTCCAGGTCTGCAGCAGAAACAGATTTGGAGATTTTCTTCAGAGCCAGCTCAAAGTCTCCCTTGGTAACCGGCATCTGAAGCTCCTCTTTAGAAAGTGCACGAATCTCTTCCGGAGTTAAGCCGTTAATACGTCGTCTCATTGCCATTAAAGAGGCATCCCTGGAAATACAGGACAATGTATGGGAGCTAATTGCTAGGAGCATGTGCTGTAAGCCTATGAATTTTGATTGTATTCTCTTGCTAGAAACCACTGGCAGGAACACTTAAGAGAGCATTTATTTACCATAGAAGATGCGGTTCACATCTTTCTTAGCTTCCATGTACCCAGATCACTACATTAATTCAACATAAAGAATGCACTGGCACCAAAACTCATTTAAGCATATGGTAAATGTGCAGAGATAATTAAAACTATAAAACTGAAAACCTTTTACAATGATTCATAGAGATGAAATTTTACAACTTCAGTGCAGGAAAGGACAGGGTGGGAGAGGAATTGCACTCACGGACTTTTTTTTTTTTTTAAAGTAGTCTGGATTTTGCACCCCCATCCCCTTAGATTTCAACGTTCTCTACACCGTGTAGCCCAAAAGGGCAGTCAGCAAGTGTTCGGAGTGCAGCCCAGCTCTATTGCCTGCTCGCACATAGCACATGAACCTGTAAAGGGCACAGCAGGAGGCATCAGACACTAGCTTCACGTGGCCCTGCAGGGCTGAGGCCATCAGTGCCCATGGCTCCTCACGCTCTACCTGCTCCACAACTCCTCCCCAGCTCGGATGCTGCCAGTGTGGTCCACTGGCACGGAGAACACTGCTCATTTCTCACACCACAGCCCACATGCAGTCTGAAATTACATTTTCTCTTTCCCCAGGTTTTTCCCAGCAAGGAATAACACAGGCCTCAGGGAGAACAGGTAATTTAACTATTGCACTGCGTGACACACACCAAGTTTTCAAAACCATGGAGTCATTTCACAATTTCAGCAAAGCAGCAGGGGAAGAAAAAAAAAATCCCAAGCCATGTTCTTAAAGAATCAGTTTCTCTTGGCAGGGATCCTAACGTTGTAAGGGATGTAGACTTCCTACCAAGAAGTTTTTCCAAATACCTATCCTCCACCAGAAAAGCTTCATTTGTCAAAAAATGAAACAAATTGTGGGAACAGGATGGAAATAAATTAAATACTAATGCTATAAACTATCTGTATCACGCTTGCACCTAAAAGATTCAGGCAGAAACCAAGACCGTGCTGCACTGGGGGCTGTCCAAACATACAGCACATAGAAGCCCCAAAGACGTATTCTGTGAAAAGTTCCTTTGCATTGCAAAATTCTAGCTCTTAAACTCATGGGATTTTAAAAAAAAAAAAAATCCAAACCTGTTTTCCACTATGTTAACAAATATTCAGTAAATGCAGACAATGGTAACATGAGATTTGCTCAGACATTTTTTTTTCTCTTCAGAGCCAAGAAAACTTAACCACATACATACAAAGCCTTCATGGTCTTTAGACTGCTCCACATGACAGTAACACATGGTTCCAGTAAAGAGATTTGGGCCTCAAACATAGTCACTGTTAGCACGGCTTCAGCTGTAGTCGGTATTGCCTTTTATCACATAATGTGAATGATGACTTTCCATGCAGTTTTATTTGCAAATTAAGGGGGGTGAGGTACCTGCAAACATTAGTGATGTCAGCACCAGAATAGCCTTCAATCTTCTCAGCAATTTCTTCAAGGCTGATATCAGGATCCAGTTCTACTTCCCGAAGATTAATCTTAAGTAGTTCCGCTCTGCCTTTTGCTACAACATAAAAATACTTGTTTGAAGACTTGCAAGAGTAACATTAAAAGAAGAAATAAACACAACTTAGATTTTTCAGTGAAAAGTACAAACAAAAGGGTTTAACATAAGAAAAGAGACAGAACAAAACTTTGTAAAGCGTGCAATCAAATACAGTAAAGTATACGGTTAAAAGTATTATATTAAACCAGCATACTCTTGAGACATTTTCCAAAGTCAAACATCATTAAAAAAATGTCTGTTATGTCTCAGGTGACAAAGCATTTGGTCACATACTACCCAAGGGCACAAAAGCACAATCCTACAAATGTCTGCTTCTTCTCACACCCCTTTGGATTCACTCGCTGTTCAAGTGTTTGATTGCATATTATTCACAAAGTTTCATTAGAACCACAATGAGGATTCTATTAACAGAGCTTCAGACAGCACAAACCCCTTAACAACAGGCTGAACTTTAAGCATATGTTTAAGCACTTTACTCAGTTGGGACCCAAGAAAGCTGCTGAAGCCTGATAGAAAACAGATACATTAATACATTAATACAGTAAACATATTAATATATTTACAATACAAATGTCCTGGTATCCCACTTTCAGACCTAGATGCAGTGTGCACACAGTGATAACCAGCTGCATAAATGAGCACTTATGCAGCCAATTAACCATTTTTCTTGTAGAGGGCATGTGCATATGTGCATTTGGGTACGTATGTTAAGCAGCCTAGGCTTATAAGAGGCAATTCACATTTGACAGCTTAGGCCTCAGTGTTACTCTGCACAAGGGTGGTAAAGAAGTGGACGAATGCTTTACTGGCTTTTACTGTACAGAAAAATATACCAGCTCAGCATCATTATTTCCACAGTGACCAATTTTTATGACCTAGAAAAGAGGAGCACCACAACAGAAGAAATAGCAGTAGGAAAGGCTAAAAGTCTTAAGGAAATGTCCACACTTATGTTTTATTCATTGATGTCCCTAATTAAAAAAGGGGGGAGGGGAATATAAAAGAAATTAGAAAGCTTGTCTAAAGCTGCTGGTTTTGTGTGCTTTGCAGAACTGTCAAGAATATAGAGTTATCAATCACACACAACTGGCACTAGCTATAAAATGGGGATTTATTATTTACAGAGCACAATGTACATACAGCATACCTGCAGAGAGCGTCCTGTATCAGAGAACATTCTTCTAATCTTTGCTATGGGGCTAAGCAAGTCCTTGCAGTATTTTGAAAATGAAACACGGTAGAATATATACTTGCATCAAATTCCACAATATACAGGTGTATATATGACATATCGTATCACTTTTTCAATTAAAATGCCTGACCACATCAAATCACACAGCACAGTTATAAATGCATCAAGTAGACTTGCCCAGAACAGCTCAACGTTCTTATTTACAGAATAGACGCAACAGAACATAAGATTGGAAATAAAACTGGAGCACATCTCGTATGTTGTCCAGGGTCTAATACATTGTGTCAAAAAACAATCTGGTTTAATTAGAAACAAGAACAAGAGCTGATAGGATTTTAAACTAATTGGTCATAAAGACAGGCATCCTGTTAGGAGCTGTTACTGCCTGTGAGCTGCAAAGACAAGCTGTAGAACTATTAAGTGTCCTTATACCTGCTAAACTCAATCACAACTGCTGTCACCATGAACACGCATCTTGTTATCTTGAGTGCTCATGCAGGGAGATGAGGCATCCACCGTACCAAGAAGAAACGAAGCTATGCAAACTTCAAGTGATAGGAATCTCAAAATTAATAGGACAGGTGAATGACAGCTAGGAAAGACAATACAAGCCGAGATGTCTTAGGGCAGGAAAGCAATCAGCCTGCTGCATTCCGAGTGACTCAAAGCACAGTCATAAAGGTGAGCAAGCAGTGATATACAATGAACTAAGCCTGTAAGTGAAAATTTGTGGATCCACTTCTTTGCATTTATCTGCAAGGGCACAGAGTGCATTTGCAATATTTCTGAACACGTCCGAAGGCTGCCTTTGATGATCACTCAAGGATTGACAAACATTTAAAATAATTCCAGGCTCATTAAAACTCTCTTTCAAAATGTACGAACCCATCAATGGGCTTGCAATGAAATGCTGCAGCTCTTTGTTTTTAAGCCCCCAAGCAAGTAGTATTTTTTTTTCCCCTCACTCTCTTTAAAAATAAAGCAACCCAGCCAAATGATTAACCCCTGAATTTCACTGCTCATCACAAAAACATCAAGATTCGTCCCAAACCCAACAGTCCTGCAGTAGTCCTAAGCTCGTCTTGCAAAGGCCATTTTCAAGGAAAATGCTCGTAGCAAACATACCTGTGGGCAAAGGTATATAAATCCTCTTCTCCAGTCTCCGTCGGAGAGCTTCATCGATATCCCAGGGAAAATTTGTAGCTGCTAATACCATAACCATCTTGGAAGGGTCATCATTTTCCAGAGCACCACCTACCCCTTCAAGCACAACAGTTTAGAGCAGTTTCAATCCACAGCTCTTATTGATTGAGATGCTTGCTAAGAAACACTGCACACACACACATTGCAAAAGCCTGGACAAAGCTAAACAACAGCTCTATGTAGTCCTAGTGCTGCTTTCCAAACTTCGCATAGCTTAGGTGTGACAAGACCATCATTGTCGCAGAGAAGGGGACAGTTCATTCTTTTGCTGAGTCAGGGGAGGGCTTTTTTTGACAGTGCTAATAATAACACAGTCATATGTGAGTGTAGCCCTACTAGTCCCACCGAAAGTGCTATCTCTGTCAGATCTGGCCATAGAAGAAACAGGAATCACTCCTTGGCCTCCCAAATGAAGACTGCAAAGAAATTATCACTTTGGGGCAAAAAGTTGCCTACCCTGAGTTTACGACAATGAACCTGCGCATTTGAGGACATTATAAATAGTAACAACAACTGCAATACAGCGGTGGTTATCAAACCACTACGTCATACAATATTCCTGAGATAGTCATCCTCGTTATGTGCACCTGCACAGAACAGGTACTAAATCTGACTAAAAGGGTAATATTAGCTGCCGCCACAGAATACAGCAAAATCAGATCTCACAATGGGGTTCCTGCGCTGGAGACTCTAGCAAAGGGGAGAAATTTGTTTAAATTGCACCAAAATTAAAGACCTGTATTAAACTGCACAAATCTCCATTATCTGCTTCTCCTAGTGTCTGTGTCACTTAAATACGAGTTTTCAATTTACCATCAAAATGGCCATTTTAGAAAAAATAAAGCCTTTTCAGTCATCTGCCTTTGAACACTCCAAAAATACACTACTCTCAAATTCTGCCTTATTTTTCCCCCATCCATAAAGCCAGGTTTTCCAGATTGCTCAAGTTCTGACATTCCCACCTGTAAAGAAACAGCACCCCAGCCCCAAACTCGGATCTAAACACTTGTTACCGTCCATTTGCACAAGCAGCTCTGACTTGACTCTGCGACTCGCCTCATGTTCGTCGGACGTGCCTCTGCGGCTGCAGATGGAATCTATCTCATCAATGAAGATTGTTGTTGGAGCATAAAACCTCGCCTTTATTCAAATGAAAACACCACTATTAAGGCTGCAGCAGCAAGCACAGGCCCTCATCAGACCACAAACCAGTCCCACTAGACATACTACATACATATCTTCCCTGCCTGTCACAAGAAAATAATTCAAGATCTTGATTTACAAACTGTCTGGCATATGGTTAAGTTTAAATCGTACTCCTCAAGTCAGGGGTCGTTCAGTGTTGGTTGGTTTTCCTCAGCAACTAGTCTTGCAAAGGGCAAAAAGGAATACAATCAAAATACAGGCAGTTTTTCATGCCCAGGTTTTTCTGCGGTGAGGGGAAAGCCCAGGGGACAGAAGGGAGCTCGGCCTGTCTCAACAGAGACAGGTTTTAACTGAGAGTATAGTAGAAGTGCAGCAAGGATCCCAAAGAGGTGAATGACCCTTCAGCATAGGTCCACATGGGCATGTCCTTCACATACCCCGCATGATGGACCACACCCAAAACTTCACTGAGAGGCTTGTGTCCAGCATTCAGAACAGAAACAGAACTAAAACATGTATTGCTTCTAGAATAACAGTTCCAAATTCCTTCCAATTTCAAATCTACTTCCTATGGGCTTATCCCATAATCAAGTAAGAACTGAATTTCTGTCAAGGTCACGACTCTACATCTAGTCTGGAAAACGCTATCCTAAACATGGGTGATGAACCATTTCCTTCTTAATCCTCAACGACATATCAGAAAAGGACGGAAACACAGAGACTGTGCTTTTCTATCTGGTTGAGGGGGTGCCAATGCAATGAACTCCATGCTTCCAACATGCTACTAGAGGGGCAGGAAACCAAAGGAGATGTCCCTTCTCACCTTAGTGATCCCCAGATCACATCATTGAGGACATACCATTTCAAACAAGAGGCGGACCAGCTTCTCAGACTCGCCCCTGTATTTAGACGTCAGGGTAGAGGAAGACACATTGAAGAATGTTGTTCCACATTCTGTAGCAACAGCTTTCGCTAGCATTGTTTTGCCAGTGCCAGGAGGACCAACCATCAGCACGCCCTGAAAGGTGAAAACAAAGGTAATGAACAAATAAAGAAACTTTGCAATTGGTACTCTACACTACATCTCAATATGATCCAAGATCTGTATTGTAATTGTTTAATAACATAATTGCCATCAGTGGAAAACAAAAGACAAGAATTCTGCTTTTGAGAACAGTGGGAAGTGCTCTGGGATTTATTCTTATTACCACTCCATTGGAGTATGAATCACAAAAGCCAGTAACTGTTGCTGCACCTATCACCTGGGAAGCAGACAACAGATACAGCCTTGCTTTGAATCAGACAGAGCCTGGACTTGAACTTAGGCCCTTCCCAACTCACGAGGGGCTGCACATGCAGATGAAGAGAGTGAATTCTTCATTTTGGAACAAAGGTCCCTTCATGAAGAAAGCTTCACAGAAACCAAAATACTTTTGCAGAAAGTTGTGTTCCCTCAGTAGAGCATTCTTCTGTAGAAAAACATTTTGCAAAAAAATCCTGATGATGTGTATATATGAATCTGGTTGACTTTTACATATAGGTATGAACGAGAGCATTCGCTGAAAACAAGGGTTTGTCACACTGTTTAATCTCTCCATCTCAGTACTTCTATAGCCATACTACTGCATCTTAGCAATTCCTGGATCGAAGCACCATCCTCACCACACTGTTGGATAGCAGAAGAGCGCTGCTATTTCTATTTCACAGATAAGCAACTGTGGCTCATGTGGACTACCGCTCAGTCCCACAAAAAGCCCAATATGAACCTCAGTGATTATTCAAAAAGCTTTAAACTAGAAAACTGAACTAAAATTGTTGAGTCCCAGGTTGGCATCCACAACATCAGACTGTCTTTCTATCTGTGGTCTGTCTGAAAGAGAGAGTAAGGAGCACACATCTCTGCAGCTCAGCACATTTACCCATCATTATGCAAGCAGGTTTTTAGCTAGACACACAGTGCTCTCAGGACCCATGTTAAGATTGTAGCACTGAGACTGGTTAATTGCTCTTGATAATATTTCTAAATACACTTATCTTTATGGATAGTCTTTCCAACCCTTTCAGCAGCAGTGCTGGAGAGGGACAACACACTGTTCCATCCCTGTACAGCACTAGAATAAGGCACTGTGATTTTGAGCACAACACTATAAAAATGTACTGCTCAAGGAGCTTGGGGTTTTTTTCCCCTCTCAACTGCAAGATCTTATTACATGCTAACAAGTTTCCTAAAGTAAAGTTGTACTGTGTTGCAAGGATAATCAAATTAGCTAGAATTAGAATTGCACATCATAATGTGCTTTGCAATTAATAACTTACATAAAATGCCACAGCAATAAAAATATCTGTTAAATGCAAGCCACATAGCAAATTAGATTTCATCTGTTCCTCACAAAAATTTACTTCAAAAAGCACAAAGAATGACACGGAAGAGATCTACAATAACATATCAACTGGGAAGGCAATTATTCAAAAATGTACTATTCAAAAGCAGTAGCCTCTCTGTACTCCATTTTCCATTAACTCTTAATACCTTTATTGCCATTTAACACCCAGCTAACGCAAGCTCAACATACATTCATTGGTAAATTCAGTTAGAAATGTTCACACTCCATCCATACAGCTAACAGTCCAATGTCACTCCTCAGGCTGCCCAAGGTTTCCTAAGCTCCAGAGCAGCAAGCATAAAAAGTAAATGGACTCTTTTTCTCCCCATGAACATTCAGACATATACTGTGATTTGAGTTGCTGCATAGTCATACTGATATTATAATAATATTGCACGTACAACCCTGGAGTAACTGGGTGAAAATTACTCAGCCTGTGATACGCAAGTCAGAGATGACTTACTGTTCTCTCCGAGTTTCAAATGTGTTTATTTAGTATTTTAAAACAACCTTCACCTCAATTCAAATCACACTTGACTCCTGTGTTTGACAAACTCTGTTTACTGCAGGACCTGGTGATACAAGGGACCAACGTCATTTTTTGGATATTGCTTTGGTCCTCCATTATTATGGAAGGTCAAATTCTGGCTTCAGCTACACATGCTGCTCGCTGCCGAAATTGAAGCCCATCACTTTGCACCTCCTGTGTAACTATTACAGTGAGCATTACTTAGCACATGATACTGGTGGCATTCTGTATGTGTATAACATAGGTGCAAAGCAGCCACACCAGGTATAAAGCCAGGGGAAAACAAGCTCTCCGGGGATAAAGACAATAGAAATATCAGTTAAAAAAAAGACAATAAAAAAGAACTTGAGTTCTCAGCAAAACAAGATGTGCATGGTTTCAAACAGAAACACATAGGATCAAATTGCTCTTTCTCTCTGCAAACTAGGAGGCTGCCACTTACTCACTAGTTAAAATCCTTGACAAACACAAAGACTTCTTTATTCTTCCTCTAAGGCTCTGTAAATCCAAAGTATTCCAATAAGAAGCTGAAATGCACCACAGGGAGTAAGTGTTTTGATGAAATCACTGCAGGGTTACTTCTTGTTGTTGGAACAATCACTAGCAGAGCAGTGGGAAGCACAGCGAGCAACTGGGCCTTCTTGGCACAAAACAGTTTGGAGAAAAAGAAAGAGCAAGCCTGTGGACACTCAGAAACCCGTGGCTGCAAATACACAGCACCTGTGTTGAATCAGGGAAGACAGCTGGCTCCTTCACACAAGGCACCGTCCTCTGCAGGCACAAACTCTGAGGGCTATCTTGGGAATTGTTTTCAGGAGAGTCTGAACATCCAAAAACAGATTTGGCTGCCTTTTCCCTGAATTATTGTCCTGAATGCCTAGGCTCAACAAATGCCTGCTGCTACACTGATTACTGCAAGAAACAGGCTTTCCTTCAAAACTTCTCATCCTTGTAGCACAAAGGTCAACAGTAGGGAAAATACATGCTGTTCTGTGTGAAAAATAAATTCAGAAGAGTTACAGCTTCACAAGTCACCAGGGAAAAGGCTAACAATGAAGACTCTTCATGGACTCGTCAGAAATCAATTTGCATTTCAGACTGAGGAGAGGAAATAATCTTAGAATTTTTTTCCATGTCTACAACCACCTAGTTTTCAGAGGCGACACTGCTCAGTAGGAAAAGATAATCTCACACAAAGAGATGGAGAGTGCAACTCTTTCTTTAAAAGACCAGGCTGTTGTTCCTTTATCCACTGCCACAATACTTGGAGGCAGGGCCAGTGGCGCTCTTCACATTCCCTGCGGTCTGCTGAGATACCTGCCTTAAAGATAGATGGCCACTACATCCTCTAGGCATGTTAATAGGTGAAAAAAAAGTATAGCAGCTCTTCTCTCCCTTAAAAGTTTTTGAGACTGGACAGACGGGGCCCCTATAGTCTATAATAAGGGTATGGATCAGCTTCCTCTATGCCAAGAGGAAAACAAGAGAGATTCAGCTGTTCAGAAAACACAGTCCTTTTTTCCTTTTCCCCCCTGCCACAATACTTGGAGGCAGGGCCAGTGGCGCTCTTCACATTCCCTGCGGTCTGCTGAGATACCTGCCTTAAAGATAGATGGCCACTACATCCTCTAGGCATGTTAATAGGTGAAAAAAAAGTATAGCAGCTCTTCTCTCCCTTAAAAGTTTTTGAGACTGGACAGACGGGGCCCCTATAGTCTATAATAAGGGTATGGATCAGCTTCCTCTATGCCAAGAGGAAAACAAGAGAGATTCAGCTGTTCAAGACACTAAAATCTCACCCTACACTTGTAACCCGCAGTATCGAGGCTCTGTCCAAGCTGATAGCTCGGTTAACCTTAAGGTTAACCTCAAGCCCACTGGTACTGACCACAAGCACTCTAAACCCCAAAGGCCATACAGCCTGGGGCTAAGTTTGGGCTGTCCCCCTGCAACTCACTAAAATCTCCATGAGCAGCCCTCAAGCAGCAATCTCTGAGCTCCTGCCGTCAGCTCCCACTCTTTCTGACTTTCCCTTATGTCTGTAGACATAAGCCCCAAGAATGACAAGTCTTCCACTCATCACTTCCCGCAGGCTTTTGTTTTGTAAATAAGCAGAATAACAGGGATCTAGGACTGGCTCAGGCTGGAAGAGGACAGCTTTGAGAGTCAGACCTAAGTATAAGCCAGAGAAGTACAAGGACCAAGCAGGAAAAGACAGGGCAAGTGTTAGTAACACAAGATCTGAGACGTGCTGCTGAACCAGCGTACTAAACCATAGAAACCACTCACGTACACAGCATTCCCTACACATGCCATTGCCTTGCAGACTCAGAATAACAGACAATTTGCAGCAGTCTCTTTTCCCCAGTAATCCTTCTCAGTAACCAGAAAGCCCTTGTGTTGTGACTAGTTATTCCCAAAACAAGTGTCAATCCATCCCACAACAAAAGCAATATAATTTTATTTTCTGTTTACAGAAATGCTCAGCAACTTCCTCCCTCCTCTTTAGCTCTAAGCAAGGCCCAGATTGGGGTCACCTCTGGTCCATCAGCCAGACCAGCTCAGTCCTGTATCTCTCCTGTTGCCCCACTTGCACCTCATTCTCTCACTTGGAATTTCTCCCACTCCAGCAGTAACTATGCCCAGCTGCAAGTGTAACTGCAAAGCTAAATCATCACTCTGATTAGCCCCTCTCTCCTTGCTTCCTTGCACCATCCAGTTCGCAGTCTGAGTGAAAGATCGGGTCCAACAGTCCAAGGCCTGCTTTCCTCCGTGAAGTCTTGAAGGGTGGCCACCGTAATCCTAAGCAGAGCTGTCTATTAAGCATTTCTGCTTCTGTCAATATACCCTATATGCTTGCTCACATGTACAGGCTGACATATAGAAAGTATTATAATGTCAACAAGCTATGACTGAGTAAATACAAAAGAATTATTATTTACTGTAAAGCCCGCATACACATCCAGCTCTTTCTTTCAGTGCATTCTACGTGAATCATTATGAGAGAATTTCATGAACAAATTCCTGATCTTTCCTATTTGCCTTTTTAGCCTTCTGCTACAGGCATCCACACACATTACAGCAGCAGACATACATAACTACAGCTTGCCATTTACTAAAACACCAAAAAAACTCCCACCTTCCAAGGTCTTCTGATCCCTTTGAAAAAATCAGGCATCCACATTGGAAGAACAACGGCTTCTCTTAGTAATTTCTTGGCTTCTTCCAAATCGGCTATGTCATCCCTGTGCAAGATGAAGAAACTTGTATAAGATTCCCGTACAACAATATTCCTTCTATTTTTATACAAGAAAAATAGAAAAGCTTTTCACTTAGTACCATCTCTTTTAGCATGCCAGTATATGCCTCATGAGAGCACTCCTACAATCCTGTGACCTAAAATTGAATCCACTTTTGGAAGGTAGAGAAAAAATTATTTTCAACTCAAGTTACCCAGAGCTGCTTAATTAAAAATTGTTTTGGACAATGTGACCACCAAAGCAGTATCTTTAAAGTTCTCTGGAGTGTACTTTCATTTCAGCAGTACCTGTAATGGATGTACTGCACATAATATCAGTCAGCAACAAAAGCTTAACTGTAATCAAATTAATAAACTGTTAAAACCAAAAGACCTTGTTTTGCTTATCTGTAGAAGATTATGATGGCTCCCTGTTTTAAGAGTAAGAAGAAGGATAATTTCTCTCCTTCTCCACACTAGCAAAAACACTTGAATTGAGAAAATCCTCATACCAATGAATGCTTGGATTCCTTGACACAATGTCCCTTTCAAGAGCTTCGACCAAGTCTTTGTCGTAACCTGCTCCATCAAATTTGGGAATTTCACCATCACCAACTTCCTGGGGTATTTTCTTTCCCTAGAAGTGAAAGCCATACAGGTTCATAAGGACATTATTCTTTGAACATATCCTTTACTAGCAATATATAGCAATATTGTCTGGTTCACCTCTGTAGAAGCCACAAGAAGGTACCAAGCTTTAACACAGCTATACAATGGCCAGCAAAACCAATGTGTTCACACCCTACACTCCACAAAGAGTGCCCAAACACCTGTGGTTGCTTCCACCACAACAGCACCATGGTTCCTTCATAGATGCAGCTCACAGTGATAAAACCCCATCAGAGCTCATTATGTATCACGGTGGGTGGGTTGGTTGGTTGGTCTTAAAGCAGCAAAACAGACTCTCTTAACAATGCTAAACCACTCTTTAGACAACTGACACACTTCCTGGCCAGCCGAAGGCACGAATGCAGAAACAGCCTCACAAAGCAGGCTGTGTCATGACTTAATGCTACATTAACTCCTGGCTGAAGACCAGAGCATCCAAAACATATTTTGAAGGTGCTACACCTGCCACACTACCTGCCAGAGCTAAACGACTGGCACTCCATCATCACTGAAAAGGAACACAAGAGCTGTTACATCGTCTTTGATGGAGGAAAACCAAGAAGATCCTTTCCCCTTGTTTAATCAAAGCCTTCCTGCCCAGCAATTTCTTCTTTCCTCAACTGCAAACTATTTCCCTCCTCTCATTCACAGGCCAGCTCCATAAACAGTTAAAATGCTTTTAAAAGGTCATATTTATTTAAGGGCTGCACCAAAAGCCCTAAAGAAGCTCCCAAGTCACCCAGGTTTCTTTGAACTACAATAATTTCTGCAGCATGCCAATGCTTATTCAGCAACCAAGCCACACACTGCCTCTGCCCCAAACGGCCCAGAGTTTCTGGTTAATACTTCCACAGTGCTGTTAAGCTTATGGGGGTGAAGTAACATTTTCCCTTTGAAGCATCAGGGCTCACGGTCCTCCTCTCCCACTTCAGAAGAAAACCGCTTCCCCTCCCAGTTCAACAGCAGCTTTCGATGGTGCCTGAAAAGCAGCTGTGCTGTTTTAACGAAGGAGGCTGAGTAGGGAGCTACTTTAGGACTCTTAACTCAGCTTCTAAACACTATCAGCAGCAAGTTAAAGAATCCCAGCTGGCTGGAACAAAGCAGCTTAGGCAAAGGCGGGCTGAGAGGCAGCTGGAGACACACAAATAACCCCGCAGTGGAAAAAGAAAAAGGTAGCGATTACACCCCTCCCAGTTGCCATTTGCCTATGAGGGAGCAGTTTATCTTCCCACTATTTTTATTTCTTGCTTCCAAGTGAACTCTGTGTTGTTTAGTACTCCCAGATCAGTTTTTTTTATGGAAATGAAGCTGAAAGTTGTGTTTAGACAAAAAGCTGGTGTCAAAAATGTTATGGTCTGGTGTAAAAAGGAAACAGAGAAAAAAGCCCTGCAGAGTTTGGAAGATTTCAGGAGAGAGAAAATGCAATCCAAATGTAACCATAAAAAAAGAAAGAAGGAAAAAAAAAGACAATGACATGAAAGGTAGTTGCTGTCTTTGTTACACATTTCTCTCCTATCCCTCTGCAATGAACTGGTTTTCCTAGTGGGAGAATTTTTCTGCACATCTCAAAACAAATCGGATGTTTTGTTTTCTCTGGGTGAAACAGTTAAGTCAGGCTTTAAAAAGCAGGAGAAGGCAGGGCAGCTAGCCGCAGCGCACTGTGGAGGAGGCTGAAGCAGCAGCAAAAGCCCCCGTCCCCGAGCCCGGCTGGCAGATCTGCACGCAGCCTGTTTGCTGTGCCAGGAAGGCGGCGAACACGCAAATCGGGCAATGCAGGCGACGCCGGGCCCGGGTGTGACGCAGCTCAAAGAAGCGGAATCAAACAGCAATAAAAGGGGAAAGAAAGGCCCCGCGGCAAGGAGGGCGCCGGCAGCT